CTCACAGTAGCCTTAATCAATAATTCAATGTGTTGACTAAACACCTAATTGTTGCAAAACCAGTTAACACCACAGACTGTAAATATTAAGGTCAACACTTTGGTGAAGCCGATTCCTTCTTGGACTAATAGAAAAAAAACCTTAATTTCTCTTGAAGGAAAATGTAGCCCAACATCTTCAGAAGCCGAATACATTCAGACATGCATCATGTTTTTACGACGGAGGATTAGCGCCATGCTAAAAAAAAAATAATAATAATACATTTTGAGATTGACTATGTTTTGGACTTTTTTTTTTTTTAATTCATGGCAAGCTAATAAAAGACAGAAAAAAACAAAAGTGTCAAAATATCCCTGACTTTGCCCAACTACATGTTAGGGTATACGATAACACTGACGTAGATCAAAATAGTGAACTGTACCTCAGACGTGTTGGTCCAAGAGTCGCATCATCGCCGGCGTTGCGAAGTTCAGAAACTCAGTTTTCATCCGCGTTCAGTTTATAAAGGATACTGATGCCAACACCCACACTCACTTCCTTCCCTGCTCCCCTGTCCTTTACTTTCGTTTCTCATCCAAGTCAAATCAGAACCACTTCCTCCGAATCGAAACTTAAAAACAGACACTTTGCATACACTCTTGTGAGTCGAGGTTATCCTCCTCACCTAAATACTGTTTCTTCTGCCAGACTCAATGAAACGAAACTTATCTGAGTTATGAACCTCGTTATTTCTGAGAAAGTCCTTGAGATGGCCTGTTGCCGAGAATGACTATAAAGAAGTAATCAGAAAAACACAGAAAAGACCGTCATTTTATTCTAATGAATATCTGCATGCTGCACCCAGCAGAAGAAGAACACATGATGTAGGAAACATTATTGTCAGGGATGAAATTGGACAGTTGAAGTTTCTCCTCAGTTGTCCTGTGCTGATTCATTGACCCTGCAGACATGATGGTGTTAAACATTGTATTACAGTTATTCCGCCACTCGCTAGATGCTGCTGCAGCCCAACAGTGATAGAAAGAGAAGCGGACAGCCTCCTGCAGGAAAACCATTCTGCAGACATCCCCTCCGTTGTTATCTGGCTCTGTATGATGTTTTCACTGCGCTTCAAGATGAATACCTTTAAGTAGTGCGCATTTATCTTAGAAAGAATGAACACGGTATGTTAAGTCTTTGTTTACGATCTATTGTTAATCGCATCCTTATTGTATCGTGCGAACCTATAGGCCTACAATACAGTTGTTTGGTGAGCTAGTTTTATCAGGTTTTACTAAATGTCATGTGTTGTGATTTGTCTGGCTGTCATTTCAATCAGCCCTGTGCGTAAAGTGATCACTGTTTGACCTCAGTCACGAGTAAAACGAAACATTCTCCGACAGCCTTTATTTCCGTGATGTAGCCATTTTCTCTCAGCTGCACCTATCACTTTCAGATGACCCGATGTCTCCCAGGATGAAAAGCCCACCCCCCTCCCTCGGGTAAGCAGACATGTTGGATAAAAGCAGTGATGAAGGACAACAGGCTGTGCAGTGCTCAGACTGCGGCTGCAGTTTCAGCCAGACACAGCCTGACTCTGACTCTGATTCAAAGGTAGCCACTGCTAAACAGCAGCCTGTGCACAAAGCAGACAGCCCTTCAAAATGTCAAGCCTGTCAGGAAGGAAGCAGCCTCCCCAATGGTCGACGCCCACACCGGCGCATGCGCCTGGATCCTCACAGCTGCAGCGTCTGCTCCAAAACGTTCATATCGTCTGCCCATCTGACCCTTCACCTTTCCTCCCACAACAAAGAGAGGAAGTTCAGATGCAGCACCTGCGGGAAGTACTTCCACCAGTCGTCCCACCTGATGGCACACAAGTTAATCCACAGCGGGGACCGGCCGTTTAAGTGCCCGGAGTGTGGCAAGACCTTCGGCCGTGCCTCACACCTGAAGACCCACCGCCGGCTCCACACCGGCGAGAAGCCCTTCAAGTGCACCTACTGTGACAAGTCGTTCACACAGAAGGCCGGGCTCCTCGCACATGTGCGTCTGCACACAGGAGAGCGGCCGTACAAGTGTGAGCAGTGTGGTGAGGGGTTTCGGCATCTGTCTGCCCTGCTCACTCACAAGGCACAAGAGTCGTCTGGGCAGGCCAAACCAGCTCCAGCTCCAGCGACCACTCAGCCCCAGCAGACACAAAGTAGCTCAGAGGATCTGAAGTGTGGTGTCTGTTGCCGCACCTTCGTACGATCATCATACATAAGGCTGCACATTCGCCTCAAAAAAGGACAAAGGCCTTATCATTGCAAAGTGTGCAACAAAACCTTCGTCAAGCTGGACACCTTTGTGAACCACTGTGATAAACACTTGAGGCAGAAACGGGATAAAAACAAAGTCAAAGACAGAGTTGTTAAACCTCCTCTGTTTGTGCCGCTCTCCAGGCCTTCTTCTCCAGAGTCCTCACCCCCTCAGCCTCTGTCCTCAGAGGTCAACACGCGCTCCAGAGCTAAAGCCAAGATTAAAACAGAGCCTTGAACAAGAGGAGGGAAAGTCATGTTCTGTCATGTTTAATGTCTTTTAAAAAAGAATGGTTCAACTGTTGCTGGTAAAACAGATGAAAGTCACGTTTACAAATTCTAACAGAAAGGGACAAAAAGCTAATTTGTAGTTAAATTATTCTGAAAAAAGTTGTAGTTTTAATCTAAGAATTGTATCACAAATGATTATTTATCTTTGCAAGCACTGAAATGGTGTATTTAATGTACATTGAACCTCACACGGCTAATTAAGAGAAACATCTCTATCGTGTGGATTGTTAAATTTCAATATAGAAAAAAAAAGTATTATAATGAAGGGTTTTATGTTGTTTCCTTACTTCCAAGTCTTTTGACATTTAAAGCACGTGTACAAACTGTAAATACAATGCATATTGTCCAACAAAAAAATGCACAGACTAAAATGAACATAAAAGCTTAATGTGGGGATATTTATTTTGTTGCACTTAGAGACAAATATCTGTTAACAACATGCTGTTGTATGAACATTTCTGTAATGTCCTCCTAGCCCAGTTAGCATTTGAGTCAAAGTTACAATAATTCTCCCAAAATAACTTTTATCTCTTAACTTCTGTGTTCATCTCCTTTGTAACATTGCTCGTGGTATGCTGAATCACCTGGGGTTGTAATGTAAAGGCTTTAACTCTGTAAGTCTACATGTGCTGCCAGATGAGCCGTTACTGGACTGTCACTTTGACTGAAACACGACGGTCACACTGTTTCCCAGATCAGCAGCAGCTCGCAGCTGATGCCTCACTGACCCAGAGCTGAAATGCATTTCTGCAGCTCCACATGCAGATGGAGCATCTGTCACCTCCACATAGGGAAACTCTTTCTACCAGCCTATGGACAGAGAGAAAAAAAAAAAAAAGACAGTAAGGGCTGAGAGGTGAATTCAGGACTATTTAAGGGTCACATGTGTAAAGCAGAGTCACACTGCAAAAGAATGAAATATACAAGTGTAATTGGATAAGATAAGATGCAACACTAATTATAAGGTAAAAAAAAAAGGGTAGATGAGATGTTTGCCTTGCAGTTTTCTGTTTCCTCTGTGCTGCCGTTAACGTTCCAATGCAGGGTGATGGTCATATGGCGTCTCCACACGGGATTCCTGTGCAGGACAATGCTTCCACTGATGGAGTCCCCTGCACACACGCTTACTGGGTTGTCAAGCATGAAGAGAGTCTGCTTCCAGTGTGTAGGCCTGAAGAGGAATTTTAAAAATCACCATGGAGTGAAGGTTTTGACTTTTTCAAACTTTGAAAGGTATTTGCTATAAAGTCTAAAGTTTTTGTATGTCTGCCTCATTTTGATTTATTGAATTATGTGTATAGGCATGTAAACATTGCACTGCTGTCACTGAATAAACTATCCTTTATTCATGTAACAAAGTTATTTTTGCATTCTTAAAAGTTTTACTTGAAGTGAGGCCCCGTGTTTAGCTCCACTGGTGGACTTCCCGTCTCCAGACTCTCAAAATGAGCCGTAAACCAAGTGGTAAATCCATGAAAAACACCGGGCTTCTCCACACAAAATTGAAACTGACCCTTTATTTCCTGAGAAATGAAACAGAGCTACATTACAGCCCAACTCCAAAGGGATGGCGCAATCTCTATCAAAAAAACGCACACACCCACAGTACCTCCAGGTCTTTGATTTGCAGCGTGTACATGTCCAGGCTGATGACATCACAGGGAGAGGAGAGGCAGTCGGCAGGCTCGACGAGGTGGCTGAACTTTGGCTTGGTGAAGAACTCTTGCTGTGCCAGGGCCTGCAGAGATGAAACGATACTTAATGCCCTCAGTAGATTAGGTTGCTGCTAAAAGACTTATGAAACTTAAAAAGAACGGGAGAAATGGAATTTAAGATATGAGTTAGGAATAAGTAAAAAAAAAAAAGACATAAAAAGTTTGTGTTTATCATAGTCATTTCATTCATACAGTCAATTACAATAGTAATGTAGGTCAGCAGTATTTATTAATATGAACCTGTGTTTACTTCATTCTGTCATAAATTGGCACCAAAATATGTATTAACGTAAAACTGCTTTGTTTCAGATGTGGGGAAAAATCCTGCAACAGCTTTAAGAACATTGGGCTAAAGATTTCTCAAATCATTTGAGACTGTCAGAGGTGACTCGATGCAATGATAGTTGTTGGAACAAAAGTTTTTAGTCCAACTTGTCTGAACTCTTTGTACAAGTGTATCATAATATTAAACCCTTTTTAACATTAAACACCACTCATTTCACATCTGAGAAAACATCATGTGCTGATAAAGACAGTGAGAGGGTTTCAAGATATTTTGGAGATACATGCTGGGGGAACGCAGTCACCATATCCTGACTTAAGTTTGAGAAACGAAGACATGTTAGCTCTGACAGACATCAGGGTACAACACCTAATCCAGGTCTCTCTGCCATGAGAAGATTAGTCAGACTTTTGATGAGTAATTTGTCTATTCTATGGTAAAACTCAAATTACAATGAAAGTAGAGAAATGAAGGGAGAGTCAAACTTCAGAAATGCGAATCAGAACTTGTAACTAGTATTTCATAGTTAGCCCCACAAAGCGGGCGGCCCAGGTTCAAATTCAACCTGTGGCTCCTTTCCCACATGTCGTTACCCACTCTCTCTCTCTCTCTCTCTCTCTCTCTGATTTCTGACTCTGTCCACTGTCCTTTATCTACAGTAAATAGATAAAAAGCCCAAAAATAAATCTAAAAAACAAAAATACAGCATCACTCCCTAGCAACTCAAATATCAATGCACAAAATAATTCAACTACTTCTTCTGAAATCAAGATCTATTTTGTTTTATTACAGTGATTACTAATGATATTTAAAACATGTGATCTTGTTAGTTCCAGACAATCTATGTAAAAATAAAGAAGTGAGACGGGAAAAAATCTACTGATAAAAGCTGACCAGCTTAACAACCCTTACTGAAGTGTGGTGTCTGTTGCCGCACCTTCGTACGATCATCATACATAAGGCTGCACATTCGCCTCAAAAAAGGACAAAGGCCTTATCATTGCAAAGTGTGCAACAAAACCTTCGTCAAGCTGGACACCTTTGTGAACCACTGTGATAAACACTTGAGGCAGAAACGGGATAAAAACAAAGTCAAAGACAGAGTTGTTAAACCTCCTCTGTTTGTGCCGCTCTCCAGGCCTTCTTCTCCAGAGTCCTCACCCCCTCAGCCTCTGTCCTCAGAGGTCAACACGCGCTCCAGAGCTAAAGCCAAGATTAAAACAGAGCCTTGAACAAGAGGAGGGAAAGTCATGTTCTGTCATGTTTAATGTCTTTTAAAAAAGAATGGTTCAACTGTTGCTGGTATAACAGATGAAAGTCACGTTTACAAATTCTAACAGAAAGGACAAAAAGCTAATTTGTAGTTAAATTATTCTGAAAAAGTTGTAGTTTTAATCTAAGAATTGTATCACAAATGATTATTTATCTTTGCAAGCACTGAAATGGTGTATTTAATGTACATTGAACCTCACACGGCTAATTAAGAGAAACATCTCTATCGTGTGGATTGTTAAATTTCAATATAGAAAAAAAAAGTATTATAATGAAGGGTTTTATGTTGTTTCCTTACTTCCAAGTCTTTTGACATTTAAAGCACGTGTACAAACTGTAAATACAATGCATATTGTCCAACAAAAAAATGCACAGACTAAAATGAACATAAAAGCTTAATGTGGGGGATATTTATTTTGTTGCACTTAGAGACAAATATCTGTTAACAACATGCTGTTGTATGAACATTTCTGTAATGTCCTCCTAGCCCAGTTAGCATTTGAGTCAAAGTTACAATAATTCTCCCAAAATAACTTTTATCTCTTAACTTCTGTGTTCATCTCCTTTGTAACATTGCTCGTGGTATGCTGAATCACCTGGGGTTGTAATGTAAAGGCTTTAACTCTGTAAGTCTACATGTGCTGCCAGATGAGCCGTTACTGGACTGTCACTTTGACTGAAACACGACGGTCACACTGTTTCCCAGATCAGCAGCAGCTCGCAGCTGATGCCTCACTGACCCAGAGCTGAAATGCATTTCTGCAGCTCCACATGCAGATGGAGCATCTGTCACCTCCACATAGGGAAACTCTTTCTACCAGCCTATGGACAGAGAGAAAAAAAAAAAAAGACAGTAAGGGCTGAGAGGTGAATTCAGGACTATTTAAGGGTCACATGTGTAAAGCAGAGTCACACTGCAAAAGAATGAAATATACAAGTGTAATTGGATAAGATAAGATGCAACACTAATTATAAGGTAAAAAAAAAAAGGGTAGATGAGATGTTTGCCTTGCAGTTTTCTGTTTCCTCTGTGCTGCCGTTAACGTTCCAATGCAGGGTGATGGTCATATGGCGTCTCCACACGGGATTCCTGTGCAGGACAATGCTTCCACTGATGGAGTCCCTGCACACACGCTTACTGGGTTGTCAAGCATGAAGAGAGTCTGCTTCCAGTGTGTAGGCCTGAAGAGGAATTTAAAAATCACCATGGAGTGAAGGTTTTGACTTTTTCAAACTTTGAAAGGTATTTGCTATAAAGTCTAAAGTTTTTGTATGTCTGCCTCATTTTGATTTATTGAATTATGTGTATAGGCATGTAAACATTGCACTGCTGTCACTGAATAAACTATCCTTTATTCATGTAACAAAGTTATTTTTGCATTCTTAAAAGTTTTACTTGAAGTGAGGCCCCGTGTTTAGCTCCACTGGTGGACTTCCCGTCTCCAGACTCTCAAAATGAGCCGTAAACCAAGTGGTAAATCCATGAAAAACACCGGGCTTCTCCACACAAAATTGAAACTGACCCTTTATTTCCTGAGAAATGAAACAGAGCTACATTACAGCCCAACTCCAAAGGGATGGCGCAATCTCTATCAAAAAAACGCACACACCCACAGTACCTCCAGGTCTTTGATTTGCAGCGTGTACATGTCCAGGCTGATGACATCACAGGGAGCGGAGAGGCAGTCGGCAGGCTCAACGAGGTGGCTGAACTTTGGCTTGGTGAAGAACTCTTGCTGTGCCAGGGGCCTGCAGAGATGAAACGATACTTAATGCCCTCAGTAGATTAGGTTGCTGCTAAAAGACTTATGAAACTTAAAAAGAACGGGAGAAATGGAATTTAAGATATGAGGTTAGGAATAAGTAAAAAAAAAAAAAAAGACATAAAAAGTTTGTGTTTATCATAGTCATTTCATTCATACAGTTACAATTACAATAGTAATGTAGGTCAGCAGTATTTATTAATATGAACCTGTGTTTACTTCATTCTGTCATAAATTGGCACCAAAATATGTATTAACGTAAAACTGCTTTGTTTCAGATGTGGGGAAAAATCCTGCAACAGCTTTAAGAACATTGGGCTAAAGATTTCTCAAATCATTTGAGACTGTCAGAGGTGACTCGATGCAATGATAGTTGTTGGAACAAAAGTTTTTAGTCCAACTTGTCTGAACTCTTTGTACAAGTGTATCATAATATTAAACCCTTTTTAACATTAAACACCACTCATTTCACATCTGAGAAAACATCATGTGCTGATAAAGACAGTGAGAGGGTTTCAAGATATTTTGGAGATACATGCTGGGGGAACGCAGTCACCATATCCTGACTTAAGTTTGAGAAACGAAGACATGTTAGCTCTGACAGACATCAGGGTACAACACCTAATCCAGGTCTCTCTGCCATGAGAAGATTAGTCAGACTTTTGATGAGTAATTTGTCTATTCTATGGTAAAACTCAAATTACAATGAAAGTAGAGAAATGAAGGGAGAGTCAAACTTCAGAAATGCGAATCAGAACTTGTAACTAGTATTTCATAGTTAGCCCCACAAAGCGGGCGGCCCAGGTTCAAATTCAACCTGTGGCTCCTTTCCCACATGTCGTTACCCACTCTCTCTCTCTCTCTCTCTCTCTCTCTGATTTCTGACTCTGTCCACTGTCCTTTATCTACAGTAAATAGATAAAAAGCCCAAAAATAAATCTAAAAACAAAAATACAGCATCACTCCCTAGCAACTCAAATATCAATGCACAAAATAATTCAACTACTTCTTCTGAAATCAAGATCTATTTTGTTTTATTACAGTGATTACTAATGATATTTAAAACATGTGATCTTGTTAGTTCCAGACAATCTATGTAAAAATAAAGAAGTGAGACGGGAAAAAATCTACTGATAAAAGCTGACCAGCTTAACAACCCTTACTGAAGTGTGGTGTCTGTTGCCGCACCTTCGTACGATCATCATACATAAGGCTGCACATTCGCCTCAAAAAAGGACAAAGGCCTTATCATTGCAAAGTGTGCAACAAAACCTTCGTCAAGCTGGACACCTTTGTGAACCACTGTGATAAACACTTGAGGCAGAAACGGGATAAAAACAAAGTCAAAGACAGAGTTGTTAAACCTCCTCTGTTTGTGCCGCTCTCCAGGCCTTCTTCTCCAGAGTCCTCACCCCCTCAGCCTCTGTCCTCAGAGGTCAACACGCGCTCCAGAGCTAAAGCCAAGATTAAAACAGAGCCTTGAACAAGAGGAGGGAAAGTCATGTTCTGTCATGTTTAATGTCTTTTAAAAAAGAATGGTTCAACTGTTGCTGGTATAACAGATGAAAGTCACGTTTACAAATTCTAACAGAAAGGGACAAAAAGCTAATTTGTAGTTAAATTATTCTGAAAAAAGTTGTAGTTTTAATCTAAGAATTGTATCACAAATGATTATTTATCTTTGCAAGCACTGAAATGGTGTATTTAATGTACATTGAACCTCACACGGCTAATTAAGAGAAACATCTCTATCGTGTGGATTGTTAAATTTCAATATAGAAAAAAAAAGTATTATAATGAAGGGTTTTATGTTGTTTCCTTACTTCCAAGTCTTTTGACATTTAAAGCACGTGTACAAACTGTAAATACAATGCATATTGTCCAACAAAAAAATGCACAGACTAAAATGAACATAAAAGCTTAATGTGGGGGATATTTATTTTGTTGCACTTAGAGACAAATATCTGTTAACAACATGCTGTTGTATGAACATTTCTGTAATGTCCTCCTAGCCCAGTTAGCATTTGAGTCAAAGTTACAATAATTCTCCCAAAATAACTTTTATCTCTTAACTTCTGTGTTCATCTCCTTTGTAACATTGCTCGTGGTATGCTGAATCACCTGGGGTTGTAATGTAAAGGCTTTAACTCTGTAAGTCTACATGTGCTGCCAGATGAGCCGTTACTGGACTGTCACTTGACTGAAACACGACGGTCACACTGTTTCCCAGATCAGCAGCAGCTCGCAGCTGATGCCTCACTGACCCAGAGCTGAAATGCATTTCTGCAGCTCCACATGCAGATGGAGCATCTGTCACCTCCACATAGGAAACTCTTTCTACCAGCCTATGGACAGAGAGAAAAAAAAAAAAAGACAGTAAGGGCTGAGAGGTGAATTCAGGACTATTTAAGGGTCACATGTGTAAAGCAGAGTCACACTGCAAAAGAATGAAATATACAAGTGTAATTGGATAAGATAAGATGCAACACTAATTATAAGGTAAAAAAAAAAGGGTAGATGAGATGTTTGCCTTGCAGTTTTCTGTTTCCTCTGTGCTGCCGTTAACGTTCCAATGCAGGGTGATGGTCATATGGCGTCTCCACACGGGATTCCTGTGCAGGACAATGCTTCCACTGATGGAGTCCCCTGCACACACGCTTACTGGGTTGTCAAGCATGAAGAGAGTCTGCTTCCAGTGTGTAGGCCTGAAGAGGAATTTTAAAAATCACCATGGAGTGAAGGTTTTGACTTTTTCAAACTTTGAAAGGTATTTGCTATAAAGTCTAAAGGTTTTGTATGTCTGCCTCATTTTGATTTATTGAATTATGTGTATAGGCATGTAAACATTGCACTGCTGTCACTGAATAAACTATCCTTTATTCATGTAACAAAGTTATTTTTGCATTCTTAAAAGTTTTACTTGAAGTGAGGCCCCGTGTTTAGCTCCACTGGTGGACTTCCCGTCTCCAGACTCTCAAAATGAGCCGTAAACCAAGTGGTAAATCCATGAAAAACACCGGGCTTCTCCACACAAAATTGAAACTGACCCTTTATTTCCTGAGAAATGAAACAGAGCTACATTACAGCCCAACTCCAAAGGGATGGCGCAATCTCTATCAAAAAAACGCACACACCCACAGTACCTCCAGGTCTTTGATTTGCAGCGTGTACATGTCCAGGCTGATGACATCACAGGGAGCGGAGAGGCAGTCGGCAGGCTCAACGAGGTGGCTGAACTTTGGCTTGGTGAAGAACTCTTGCTGTGCCAGGGGCCTGCAGAGATGAAACGATACTTAATGCCCTCAGTAGATTAGGTTGCTGCTAAAAGACTTATGAAACTTAAAAAGAACGGGAGAAATGGAATTTAAGATATGAGGTTAGGAATAAGTAAAAAAAAAAAAAAGACATAAAAAGTTTGTGTTTATCATAGTCATTTCATTCATACAGTTACAATTACAATAGTAATGTAGGTCAGCAGTATTTATTAATATGAACCTGTGTTTACTTCATTCTGTCATAAATTGGCACCAAAATATGTATTAACGTAAAACTGCTTTGTTTCAGATGTGGGGAAAAATCCTGCAACAGCTTTAAGAACATTGGGCTAAAGATTTCTCAAATCATTTGAGACTGTCAGAGGTGACTCGATGCAATGATAGTTGTTGGAACAAAAGTTTTTAGTCCAACTTGTCTGAACTCTTTGTACAAGTGTATCATAATATTAAACCCTTTTTAACATTAAACACCACTCATTTCACATCTGAGAAAACATCATGTGCTGATAAAGACAGTGAGAGGGTTTCAAGATATTTTGGAGATACATGCTGGGGGAACGCAGTCACCATATCCTGACTTAAGTTTGAGAAACGAAGACATGTTAGCTCTGACAGACATCAGGGTACAACACCTAATCCAGGTCTCTCTGCCATGAGAAGATTAGTCAGACTTTTGATGAGTAATTTGTCTATTCTATGGTAAAACTCAAATTACAATGAAAGTAGAGAAATGAAGGGAGAGTCAAACTTCAGAAATGCGAATCAGAACTTGTAACTAGTATTTCATAGTTAGCCCCACAAAGCGGGCGGCCCAGGTTCAAATTCAACCTGTGGCTCCTTTCCCACATGTCGTTACCCACTCTCTCTCTCTCTCTCTCTCTCTGATTTCTGACTCTGTCCACTGTCCTTTATCTACAGTAAATAGATAAAAAGCCCAAAAATAAATCTAAAAAACAAAAATACAGCATCACTCCCTAGCAACTCAAATATCAATGCACAAAATAATTCAACTACTTCTTCTGAAATCAAGATCTATTTTGTTTTATTACAGTGATTACTAATGATATTTAAAACATGTGATCTTGTTAGTTCCAGACAATCTATGTAAAAATAAAGAAGTGAGACGGGAAAAAATCTACTGATAAAAGCTGACCAGCTTAACAACCCTTACTGAAGAGGAGTGAAGTCCAGGCCGTAGGGTCGCTCCCAGAAGGCCATTTTCTCATCATAATAGCTGTGGGCCTGACACGGCACCAGGGTGAGGGCTGCAGACGAGGGCCACATGACGCCGCCTTCCCTGAGCCAGCGGTCCCTGGCCAGCAGAACTGACTCAACCATGAACTCAAACTATACCAGAAGAAGAAGAAGAAGAAGGAGATGATATCTAATAATGCTGTAATTATACTTGGATAAAGCATTCAAGTAAGAGGAATCTTTGCACATAACCTCAAATCATTATTTTGAATTTTGACAGTGTCATAATTACCAGCAGGCTGTTTCCCATCCACTCAGAACCAGGACATCCACCCGCTCAGGCAGCTCGATCTCCTCTGCTCGAGCCTGGAGCACAGAGACCACCTCCTCACTGCCATTTTGCTTCACCAGCTGCCGGGTGTAATCCGCCATGGAGCTCGCTTCCACAGCATACACCTACAACAACACAGATACACTCGTACAGTGTGCTGATTAAATCATGTGGCTGCACTGATTCGCCAGCAGATGGGAGTAGAAGTACACAAAAGTTTGATACACCTTAAACTTAGGAGGAAATAGAATAGAGTAAGTTGTGTGGAAGTCGATGTAATCAGCTTTTAATTGTAACAAATATTTCTTGGTAAGAAAATATTGGTTATGTACATTTTCAAGATATTCAGATTTGACTTTATTATAATGATAAAGGTGGGCTGACAAGTTGTTTTGACTGAAGAGGAACATTAAAAAGGGGTTCGCATGTCTTTGGGAGTTCCACAACATTGAAAGAAAAAGTTGTATTAGATCTTGTTACGCCAGGTTTTCAAAATACAGACGAAGGTGCTGCATGTAAAAACAATCTATATGACTCATTCAGTAATATACAAAACTGTATCATAAAACGCAAGGCTACATCGGAGTATAATACCCAATAAGTCAACCATGCTGCAAAATCACAAGTTGAAAAAAACACAATTCAACAAACAACTTTGTAAGTGTAAAAATGTATATACATTAATTTATTAGAATCATGAAGTTAAAGTTCCTATTCATTTATTTATGTTTTGAATTAATAAATACCCAAAAACTCAATATGAATCAACTTTTATAAATATGTAAATGGTCATTTACTGTTTGGAAATGGTAGATAAATCAAAACGTAATTGCAACTGAAGTTTCTGAAACTAAACCGGGCTGTCAGTCCTTTATCTTTCTACTTTCTGCTACATAACTAGCAGCACATGTGTTTGTGTGAGAGATAGACTTAGAGCCATTGTGTTTACATTACCAATGAGGGCTGTGCCAGCTGAGCGCAGAACAGGCTGATGATACCAGTCCCACAGCCGAGGTCCATCACCACCTTGTTCTTCAGCGAGGCACTGTTGCTGAGAATAACCTGCCGGTACGCCTCAGTGCGACTCTTGTCTGACAACATCTCCAAGTGAAGCCTCTGTATGTCAAAAAAAACAACAACAACAAAACAGAACAACAATTAAATTAGAAAACAAAGATTGCCAATATTTCCTGGTTAAGATTTTATTTAATTCCCTATCTTACAGGTAGACCTTAACCACCATCATGTTACATTTAAGTGAAAACAAAATGTGTGTTCATTATGATGCGTAAATGGGGTTTATCCTCAGGTAAGTTGTATGTCTCTATATGTTGATGTTTATTTCAGGACCTGCTACCTGGAGGATCACACTATCTTTTTACGTCTTACTTTAAGCTCTAAATTAAGACTTTGGGATGTCTTTAAGTGTCAAACCAGTGTCCCATAGCTGCCAAAGTATTCTTCGTCTTGCCAAGGGTCCTCCAGACTGACGTCTTCCTCCTCCTCCGCTGTACTCTTGCGCAGGTAGCTGGCAGGGACATAACCTTTGACCTCCTGCAGCTCTGCCCACCACCACTCTGATGAAGGCTTGGTGTGTACGAGCAGTCTGTCCCCCCTGCTGAAACTAAGCTAAACAAAGCAAAGTAAGAACAATAGTTAGATCTAGCTTCTCGACCTAAACTTTTGGCTTTGACAGTGTGCAGTTACGAGACCTGGTCGCTACCACTCCCAGTGAAATCAGACAGAGCAACATACTCCTCAGGAGAGACATCATCTTCTCCTTCTTTCTCGGTCTGCATGGCTTGCAGCAATTTCTTCGACAAGCCAGGTGTTTCGTTTCCTTGAATACACCGTCTTTACCTTTTCACGACTCACAAAGAAACATATACCTCTTTTTGTAAGTACAATTTCCACTCCAACTACACTCGGATAGCACGAAAGCACTTCCTGTTTTGACGTCAACATCAGTAACGATGTCTTCATGTGCTGTCGGAAATATTAACAACGTGGAATAACAGTCCCAAAACTTTACTTTGAAGTATCTTTAAATCAGTGAAGGGTTCAAATACATGTGTCGATTACAGCACTGCATCAGCGTCCCAATTCATTAGGGTTACATTAATTAAAAATCGGAATTTATAAAATCACCTAATTTCACATTCATTATCCCTTCCTTTTTTCAACTTTTGCCAAAATTATTTTCAAGTATTATCTGTTACTTATGCATAATTATTGGAATACATGTATAGAAAAGCTAACAAGTTCTCATCCGATTTCTGAAAAAGGGGCTTTCAGAGGAGCACCTGAAGGCAGCACAAAAGTGACGTTCTTTTGATATTTTTCTCATACACAAGACCCCCCCCCCCAAAAAAAAAAACAACCCACGCTGTACTGCTTTAAGGTGTACATTTTTTTTTTCTTTAAGTGTCGTGAAGTGATTTTTCAGTAGTAATTGATATACAGAAGCATACTTCTCTAGAGCTCATTAAAATCGTTATTCCAATGTAAACCAACAGAAACAAATAAGGCAAATAATAGATCATTTAATATTACAAAGGTTTATTTTCACAGAAAAATATATTCAACAATGAACAAACAGTATCACACAATAGTTTTACAATAACAGATTTAACAGAACTAACAGTAGAAGAGCTCATGAAACAAGTCACACTCTCATCCTGAGAGTAAACAACAGGTAGAGTAGAAACTTTTTGTTCAGTCTTGTGGAGTGTGTTTGAATGCTGTATCATGTTCAGTCATCAGTCTTGGTAGTAAGTTTCAGATTTATTTTGTCTTAGACTTGAGGAAGGGTTTATGCAGCACGTCGTAGAGCCGCTTTGCCTGAAATAACAAAATGTCATCATTGTAATTTAAGAAATGTTCCCAACTTTCATTCATTTTAGTCACATTGCACATGTGCTGTTTTTTTTACTCACTTTTTGTGGTCCAAGGCCCGGACAGAGAACCAAGTCTTCTTTAGAAGCACTGATGATTCCTTCCACAGACTGTATAAAAAAAGACATTCATAATCTCAGATCAGTCCCTCTAATCATATTACTGCATTAAATCCAAGTATTATAACACAAATAATTTGGAGAGCACTATCAAATCAGCCTGTGAATGTGTCTTTGCATCTACACAGATAACAGTATAGCATCTATCTGAGGATACAATTTTGCTGAAGTAATACTCACTGAGAAAGTAGACAACAAGGTTATGGCATCAGTCTTGTTTATTGACTTCACAGTGGTCAGGCAATCTGTAACCTTGAAGCAAACTATTTCAATCAGGATGATACATTTTTGACAAATGCTATTATGAAAACAAACTATCACATTAAAAATAGCATTGAACCTCTAAATATTGATAAAAAAACAAGACATTTACACACCTTTGACAGATAGTCTTTCTCAACTTGCTCCTTCAATACGTCTGCTGGCTTCTTTTCATATGACTTGTATGTTTCCAGGTAACGCCCTGCCTCCTCTGGACTGTTAAACAAACAGAAAAGATTAGTTTAAAAATAGGTCATTTGATTTAAATTGTATGGTACCAGTCATTATATGATTCATTGTTTCCAGATCAACACAAAATATTAAATGAGCTTTATATGCATTAAAGTGTTTAAATGAGATGCTTAAAAGTATGAAAAGACATCAACTACTTATTAAAAATGCAATAAAATTTAAAAAAAAAACAGAACAAGTTTTGAGTTAAATAAATACAACATCCCCACCCATACTCAATATAATCCCACAGTACATACATACCTTAACCTTAAAGATACACTTAAATCTATCCATGTCTCCAACAGCCAGGATGGTGAGCATTTAAAAGTTACTCTGCTGTATTTCAGTGTCCAGTAACAAACGGTTCAGTTTTCTTAGGAATCTGTCGGAGTTCTCACCTCCAAGCCAAGATGAGAGTGCAGTCAGCCATGATGCAAATGCGAGCAAGCTCCTTCAACGCATGATGAGGATCTTTCTGAGACACAGAGAGAAAATCTACATTTATCTTTAAAGCTTCAAAACTGGAACACACGCTTCAGATTTGTTCCACAAAGAGATGTCCTGATTCTGAGTTTTTTTCCAACCAAAGTTCTTTTAATATAAACATACTGAATCACACTGCATCAAGTATTTGTGAAGTATGGCGTTTATATTCTCCAGCAAGCAGTACTGAGACTTTTCTCAAGCTGAACACTTCAGACTTGAAGTGCACCAGCCTTAGTGAAACTAATTACACTGAGGCAAGGTTATCAAATTAAAAGTTCTGCATGGATAGCATACACGACAGCTCCCCCTTAATGACTTAGTGCTCACAACGGGCTGCTTCATTTGGTTAAATATACCAATGCTCAAAAATAGCAACATCACCTATCTGAGCAGTGTTTCAGTTAACTAGCTGGTCTAAAAAGGTGTACAGGTATTTTATGTCTCTTTTTTGTTATCAACTTGCTTTATAAATGTATACATTTTTTAAAGTTGCAGCAGAGTAGGTTATACTAGTATGATAAAAATATATATTCAATTCAATTCAATTCAATTCAAAAAACTTTATTTGTCCCCGGGGGGCAATTGAAAGGCACACAGAGCAGTAAATTAACAACAGTGCAAGTAAACGAAACATTTTAACCTAAATAGAAAGTGTCAATTTAAATACAACTTAAAGCTTAAACTTTACTTAAAAATACTAAATATAAAAAGAGTAGATATAAGTGGACAGTGATCGGACTAACAGATGTAAACAGATGTAACCATAACTATGTGCAGTAGTGACCAGATGTAAACAGAACTATGTGCATATATATATACACAAAGCTTAACATATATATAGTTACTTACCACATCTACTTGTACTAGTAACACTCGCAGAGTGAAGGTCTGTCCAAGCTGTTTGAGACGGTCATGAACGTAGTTTGGATTCAGATTGTGATACCTTAGACTACAATCCAACAAACAGGAAACAGAATGAAACACAAAAGAAAAAGAGTGAATATTGCCACTTATGCACAGCAAATATTAACACATGAATTTTGTTTATAGAGAAAAAGTATCATTTAAAACCATATTTTGTTGGGAGAACTGCAAGTGCTCTATGTATCCATGCAAACAAACACTTTTGCATTCAGCATCACACACAACAGACCTGAGACACAAACTTCACCTGAGGAAAAGAGCGCAAGTTGTCAAGCCTAAAACGTAGTCTGGTGCAACATCTCCAAACTCCCAAGGAACACTCCTCACAAACTTCAGAATAGGATTTCCCCTCTGAAAAGGGAAAAATACAAAAATTCAGATATCACGTGTATCACTGTGCAAGCAATCTCACAAGTGGAAAAACACTGGCCCTATTACAAGCGTGTGAGGAAATATTTAAACTCTGTAAAGCTTCAGTGGGCCGGAATATATCGCTAAACTACTTTACTATATGTAATGTCACTCTGAATGGGCACAAGAAGGTAGAGAGATGGTTTTTGCATTAAAGGGGTTTCCTACATAAAACAATATCCTCTGTCACCTTAGAGACACATACCTGTCGAGGACTGACAATAATGCTGCTACCTGACCCCATTTGCTTTGGACCAGTGTTGAGGCATGGATCTGACCCTTGTAGGTTCCCTTCTCTTTGCTCTGTACCAGCCATCAGTGTCTCCTTAACTCCTTCAGACCCGCCTTCTGTCATTTTAGAAAGGTCCTGAACAGTGTCACATCCTCCTGAATCCTCTGTTTGCTTCAGATCGCTAACACTTTCTGTCCTGGACACTTTTGAGGAGCCCTCTGTCTGAGGAGGGGCAGCGACATTGCGTTTACTTTGGACGACATAGTCTGCATATGACAGGGGCTTGTCCACAGGCTCAGAAGAAGTACTTGCTGAAGTTGAAGCTGAAGCATGTTGTCCTCCTTTCAATGAAGACTGAAACTGCGGCTTTGGCTGAAATACAAATAAAATCACATGGAAATGCTGTGAGACTGAGAGTCGAAAATCACCAGATAAATCATGCAAAACAGACCTCACTATTCACCGGACTGTCGTGACTGTGTGTCTCGAAGTAAGCAGGTTATTTTCAAACTTGATTTGAAATTTTAGTTTGTGTAAATTCTATCAAAAATACCGACCGGTGTCCTTTCTTTGGTGAACGCTGAGTCGTCCAAGTTGATGTTAAATCTTTTCTTCATGTCTTTGTAATGACGAAGAGTTCCAAAATAAAAGCATGCCACTGACTTGTGAGAGTTTTGTAATGTCGCAATGTTTACTTTTGTGTACAACAATGCTTCTTCTTCTTTTTTTTTTTTCCAAATAAAATACTTCCGGTCCCGAATCCTTCTTCTACTCATCTTTCATGGGCATTACCGCCCCCTACCGTGTTAGGTGTTGAAGTGTTGAGCAGAGTTAATGTAACCCTCAGGTGGCACATAAAGCTACATTTTAGCTCCTCCTCCTCCACTATTTAATTTCTCTCTTTCTTTGCAGTGTTGACATTAACCAGTGTTGTTTTTTTTTTTTGTAGTTAGTGTTTTTTCTTTTCTTGTATGACCACCTCTTTTATTGTATTTAAGGAACATTTTTATTTTATAATATTACTTTTTAAATTCACAAACAGGTAATTTATATTTCCATGTGTTTTCACTGTTAATAAAAGGCATATCGATATATATCAAGTATCGCCATTCAGCTAAACAATATCGAGACATGAGTTTTGGTCCATATCGCCCAGCCCTAGTTTAGGATCGTTTGTGCATATCACATTCATTGTAGAGACATCTTGTCCCATGTGAGAACATGTAACAGGTAGGCTTAGCATCAACACTTGCAAAATGCATTTTTAGATGACTGACTCCATGAATGGTTTAGCTAGGGCCAGGACTGTAAATATTGAGGCTAGGGCAGTTAAGATCAAAGCTTTTTTTCAATTGTGATTTGATCAAACCATGTCTCTGGGCTAGAGTTCACAACAAAGAGACCTTAAAGACAAAAATGTATGTGTGCAAAATAGCCAACGTAGGCTATTTGGGGGATTCAAAACCGGTGTGTAATAAAAGTAGAATAGAATAGATGTTAATTGCCATTTGCACAGGTACAGGACAGTACAGGTACATTGGAATTCTTGTGCGTTTCTCCCTGAGTCAGCTTCTACAAAAAAGTTAAAATTATATATAAAATAGAATAGCATTATAAGAAAAAAAGAGTAGAAAAGTAAAAAAAAAAAGTAAAAGTAAAAATAAATAAGTTGTAGTAACAGCTAAGTAATTTAAAATAAACTGTACAGAAGCTATACACTGTATTAAAGCAAATATATAATACAAAAAAAATAACAAAGGGGAACACTGTACAATGAAATGAAAATATAAATATGTTTTCTTGTCTCTAACTTTCTACATCTCTTATTGCACCTGAGGTTATTAGAATAAATAGTAAAATAAATAGACAATTGGCATTATTTACATTTATAAATATACTCTTGCTGTATGAGCCATTTGCTCTTCTCTCTCGTGTGAGGATTGTTACCTTGGAGTATGCAGTTGTCTAGGAGACGCTGACGCCGCCATTCAAACAGCGACGCATGGCATGCCGGGATGCCTTCCTCAATCATGGCGGATCGGGTAGCAGGCTAACGTGAGCGGTTAGCATATTGATCGACTGTTTCATTTAACGCATCGCAAAAATTGCAGCCATCTGGTATTTTCCACACACAGCTGAAGCCGCTGGAGAGGAACTGGGGTAATTGCATGTTAAAGTACCGACTACAGTATTGAGCGAATGGAATTGCTTTGTTGTAAAAAATGAGTCTCTAGCAGACATGTCTTAGCAAACTTGATAGTTAAATCACTACGAGCATGCTAAGTTAGCTTAGCGCCGCTGTGCAGGCTGCAGACGGGCTGGGAGATGTTTGCCGCTCAGGCCTTAAAGGAAGCATGTTTGTGTTTAACAGCGTACACACTGTTCAACACTATAGACGTGTAAAGTTTAAGATTAATTTTAATGAATACAGTCGTACTTGTAAGTTAAACTGGGCTAACGCTGTATGCTTTGATGTGTTATTGAAGGTTTAATGTGAGCCATGCAGAGGCCCGGATGTGATTATCATTATCTAACGTGTCTGCTGCTGCAAACTTTTTGTGTGCGCGGTTTTGCTATTCTCCCTGCACATTTAGTTTACTTAAAGATAGTTGTTATTTAGTCAAACTGGCCACTGTGACTAACATTTTAAGGGATATTGAATTAAACGTTAACCAAAGTAACTTGGAAAATGAAACATCATGTTGACAACAATGATAGCTCACTTTAGCATCAGCTAACTGAAGCGCCAAAGAAGAATTAATCACCTCACCTTTATTTAATAAACGCTGTTTCTGAACATCAAAGTTGCATGTAACCCAATTTTATTATTCCGCATAAACACATTACTAGATTGTTATAAAAGGTTGCATCACCATTGCAAGCACACGAGCTTCTCACATGTTATTTAACCTCTTAAATGTATATTGTTTGGCTAATGCTGACTTTTAATGACAGTGAAAGTCCTCAAGCACAGGCTTTAGTTTCAATTTATTTATTTATTAAAGGTGAAGGCATATCCCTTAGAAACCTTATTTCTGCGTGGCACCACTTTGGCCGATTACAATGTTTTCAGCCCCAAACCCTCACCATACACATCAACATGTAAACATAGATCGACTTTACAGTAAACATACTGTCAGTCGAGCTCTTTGCTGTGAAATTCAAAAAGTACAGAGTAGCAACTTCTGTATGAAAACAAACTGAAAAGACTATCAAGGCACTTTGAAAGAGGAAGCAGTTTAATGGAGAACATTAAACTAACACATTTCTAAGATGTTACAACAGTCATTGCTTTGAACTGATTTTTAAAATGGACTATCTGAAGATGAAAATCCTGTAAGGTTTATACTTCCAGTCCTGCAGTGAGTTCAGTGAATAAATCTGTGGGCTTCTCCTTTTGTGCAGGATGTGATGTCTCCAAGTGGCGTCCTAACTTTTTGGCTCCATTCTGTCAGAAGCTTATACTCTAACTGAAGCACAACACGCACTGTGGTCTCTCTTCAGTGGCCAATATGACAGCCATCCTTACCGTATAGGACAAATACTCTAAGAAAGCTCATCTGTATCCCTCCCTACACCTTTTGGGGGAAATGTCAGGATCATATCGGAACAGCATGGCTATCCATTGCTTTGAGGCTGTAGTGCAAATGTATAAAATCTTTACTTCTTTCTGTTGTTGCTGCATTCATTTTTGCCTTGGTTAAAGTACTTTTGTTTTTCTTTGCCAGTGTTGAATACCGGAGCAGCACACCAGTGACTTTAAGAGGGCCGTTACAAAATCAGGGGCATAATGGAGTGTGCAGTGCAAATTCTCTCAGGTGAGTGATGGAAATGACACAACTTGGGATCTGTATTGTTTCCATTTGATCAATTTTTGATTTGTCTTTTACTTCTGTTTTCCTACATTAATACATTTTTAACAAAACTGTTAAGACCTTGTTGTCCAGAATTGATTACATAAATAAAACATGCATTTGGATTGACTTGTCCATTGAATGCCATTATTAAACAGTGTCCACTTTTATGGAACAGACACTACAGCATTATATTGAATGCCACTTTTTCATGATGGAAATAAATTTAAGTGCACTGCTATTCAAATAACCTATACACATTTACTTTATATGTTATGGTTACCGAATACTTGTGCAGTCTGAACATATGTTTGTCCTTTGTAGGTGAGGAAGAGGCCCCTGAGAAAGATGACATGAATGTGAAGGAAGGAAATGAGACGCCTCATAAGAAAAGCAAAAAACACAGAAAACACAAGAGCAAAAAGAAGAAGAAGAGGAAGAAAGGAGAGAAGGAAAGTAGTTCGGAATCTGGTGCCGAGTCGGATGTAGAGGCACAACCTCCACTGAAACCTGTCAGGACCACCAGAGCCAGGTCAGAGGAACCACAAGTTCGAATCATGTAGATTCAATTTCATACCAAAAAAATGCATTTTTGCTTAATTATCTAAGAAAAGCAAAGAATAAGCCTTAATGTAATTTGTGTAGTTTTATGGTTGGAAATATTGTTTTTTTATTTTCTTGTATTTGTAGTGCCAGACTGGCAGCAGCTACAGGACCTGGAGACAATGCTGGGCTGAAGGAGGATGGTAAAAGGGATGTCATTACAGGTAGGCTGAATACCCAAATACACACATTATTCAAGTTTTCATTACAAGTAAAGGCTTTCTGCGGATGTTTGCTGTGTTGAATTAAAAATGTCCTTTCTTGTCTTAGATCGTGGTGAAACAGAGGTAGATGCAAAATCCAAAAAACACAAAAGGCACGCTGCCAAAAAGAAGAAAAAGAAGAAGAAGAAGGATGAAAAACAGGAAAAGAAATCTCAGTCTCCTACCCCATCTGAAAGCAGCTCGGCTTCAGGTTCTGACTCAGAAGGTGAAGGAGGTAAAGGGGCCGTTGATGGAAAATTCTCTTCAGCTGCAGTAACTGACCTCCAAGAGCCTGTGTCCAAACTGCTTCCAAAAAGCAAACGAGGGGAGGAGAAGGGGGTTCCAATCCTCGTGCAGAAATCTGAATTGCTTGGAGTGAACCAAGAGGGGATTGTAGAAATGGATGCATCCCCCATTGGAGGGAAGGGGGGTCACACCGGTCAATTAGAAAAGGATATGAGGTTGCCCTCTGCAGGTCAGGATGACACAAAACTTGCAACAACAGATGGTTGCCATGCTGATGGTGCATTCAGCCATGCACAGGAACTCCCTGATATCATCCCTAAACAAGAAGGTGCTACCCCAAGAGATGACCCAGCCATAAAAGATCAGGCCAATGTAGTTCAGAGGGAAAAGGTCAAGGAATGTGATCCCCAAAGGTCACAATCTTCATCCCCCTCAAGAGTTCTAGACATTAAGAGGTCTAGCTCATGTCATAGTCGTTCACCAACACCTAGTCCCACTAGGCTGCAGTCTGCTACCCAAACAGCAGCAGGTATTGAAGAACGTTCAAGAACCCATTCCAGGTCAACCTCAAAGGGAAAGCTTTCAGCAACTCCTCTCAAGAATCGGCAGCAGTCCCGCTCACTGTCCCGTTCCCAATCCCCTAAATCTAGGAGGAAGTCTCTCTCCCTGTCGCCCAAGTCTCCCAAGAGAGCCACCTGTCAATCACGCTCCACGTCTCGATCCCTCACCCCCAAGAAGAAGGTGTCAAAGCCTCTAAGGAAGTCCAAGTCTCCTAAATGCCGTAGAAGCTCTTTGTCTGTTTCCCCAAAGCGACGCAGAAGTTCCCCATCTCCTAAAAGAAAACTGTCACGATCTCCTAAGCGTGGCGGGCGCAGGTCTCCCTCTCTATCTCGGTCTCCAAGGAGAAGTCGAAGGTCAGAGTCACGTCCCCGTGGAGGCGCAAGGCGCTCCAGGTCCCGCTCAATAAGACGAGGCGGTGCTGTTGGAAGGCGTTCACGGTCACGCTCTGACACTAGAATTCGTCGTTCCCACTCAAGAACAAGGCGCCCTGCTCGACGTTCTAGGACACGGTCACCAGCAAGGCGTTCAGGAGGCAGGCGCTCCAGAAGTCGGTCCTTGTCTCGGCGTAGGAGGTCACCTCCCCCCAGATCCAGACGCTCAGGCTCCAGGTCATTCCGCAGGAGCAGACGGACTCGATCACGTTCTGTCGTAGTCCTTAAACGAAACCGTCGCTCAAGGACCAGAACTCCTCGCAAACGGACCAAATCCAGAACCCCTCCTTCGAGAAGACGGTCTAAATCACCAGTAAGAAGGCGATCTCGTTCTCCTGTCAGGAGAAAGCGTTCTCCACCAAGGTCTGGCAAGCGCTCCAAATCCCGCTCATTGTCTCGAAGGCACAAGTCAAAGTCACTTTCACCACTACCTAGAAAGAGGAGGTCCAAATCTCCGAGGAAGAGTGGAAGAAGATCAAAGTCTAAATCCGTTTCTGCAGGCGTGCACAGATCTAAATCCAGGTCCGACTCAAGTGATAGGCAGTCTGACAGCTCTTCTCCAGCCAGATCTACATCTTCCTCTCCTGTTAAAGAGAATAAGCTCCCCTCTCCAATGGTAGACCAAACAGTTGGCGTGAAGGCAGCCGGAGAAACTGGGGGATTTTCAACAGGTCAGACCATTGACATTCAACTGTTTTTAATCTACTATTAACATTTTTTAAAATCTATATAACCTTGAAGATGTTTTCTAAAAATCTATTTGATAAGTAAACAAGTCAGTGTAACATTAAAACTTCAATACTTATATTGCCTTTTTGTCATTTAATACATACCTTGCAGGTGCGTGGAAACCCGTGTCCTCAGCAGCTTTCTCCAGCCCCCAGGCTGAGAGCACTTTGGAAAAGTTGCAGCCTCAGACGCTCTCTCCCAACCATGAAAAGACACTGAAAGAGTGTTCCAGCTTATCCAATGAACAAGATGTTTCCAGGTCAAGGTCTGGTTCAAGAGAGCCCGAGACTGGCCCAGATGGGTCCGATTGTTCGGAGGGCTCGGCTGAAGAAGAGGAGTCTTCCTCTCCAGTTAAAACAGCTTCCAAATGCCAGAGAAGCTCCTCAGGCTCAGCATCTCCAGGAGTGCAGAAGAAGCAGCTGTCACCAGTGGACCAGAGGAAACTTTCACGCTCCACTTCACCTCGGCGTTCAACATCCAAGTCTAAATCCAGGATAAAGCATTCTAGGTTAGTGTTTGTGTGTGTACCCAATCCTACACAAAGAATGAGTTTTCTATGGGTCCCAAAAGAGCACTTCATTAAGTAACTTTAAGTTATTCAATGTTAACAACTTAATGAAATGCTGACACCAGATGCATATTATCCAATTAATGTGTACTTAAACATTTCAGTATTTACCAGAGTTGTGCTTATTAACAGATCTTTATCTTTGTCATCTTGATTTGTCCTCAGGTCCAAGTCTCCAGTCAGAAAAAGAGAATCCGTATCTCCATCTGAGAGGAAGAAGCGACGATCTATATCCCGAAGTTCTGCACGGCGGCGAAGGTCCCGCTCTGCCACGCGGCGAAAGGGTTCAAACTCCAAGTCTAGAGCCAGAACCCGCCGATCCAAGTCGCCAGCCCGCAAGAGGCGCTCAAGAACTCGTTCACCCAACGCCCGCGGAAGGAGGAGGTCCAAGTCCACAGACAGAAGCAAGCGATCAAAGAGCCGCTCCCCAGGCCGAAGGAAAAGGTCTCGGTCAGGAGACAGAGGCAGGCGGTCAAGATCGCGTTCTACCGATCGCAGACGCAGGTCTAGGTCGAGGGGTCGAGGGAGACGCCCGGTATTTCGCAGTCGTTCATTTGATAGACGGGATAGGTGGAAAAGGGAACCAAGCCACTCTCCGGTGCTCATCCTCCGCAAACAGCGTCGCTCAGGGTCCCGGACAAGGCGCAGCGCAAGCAAGACTCCTCCACGGCTCACTGAACTGGGTAAAACATTTGATTACTTTTAAGTTCTAATCTCCCAACACTTAAAACTGTGATGTTACATAAATGCTAAATTGATGAATGATCTGCTTTTACATTTTTTTTAAATCTTGTTACTGTCTATATTGCTAGTATGCCCGATTCTGCTTCTCCTCATCTCTCCTATTAATTTAGTTTTGCATCCCCCCCCTGACTGTCTGTGTCCTCTGCCCTCTTTTTCTTTAGACAAGGATCAGCTGCTGGAGATAGCCAAAGCAAATGCTGCTGCCATGTGTGCTAAGGCAGGGGTGCCCATTCCCGAGAGTCTTCGTCCGAAAGCCATCCTCCAGCTCCCTTTACCCACTCCATCTCCTGCCCCCCTCTCCTTACCCCTGCCCTTACCTCTCCCAATGGGCATGGGGATGCCCAACATGCCGAATATGCCCAACATGGGTCCAATGGGTCTGCCCAATATGGGAATGCCCAATATGTCCAACATCACCATGAGTGCTGCTATGGCAAGCATGACAGCAGCTACAATGACGGCTGCATTGACCAACATGGGGGCCCTGGCTGCCATGCCTCCTCTAGCCCCACTTCCTACCATCACCAACAAGCCTCCCCCAAGCCTTGCCCCCCCAGCACCAACCCTTAACCTGGACCACATCGAGGAAGCCAAGAGGAAGGTTACTCACCAAGCTAACATACACACCATCAAGGAGCTAACTGAGGTAAATTTAGGGATGAGTTGATAAGGGTACTCTCTTCATAGAACCATTGTTGAATTGAATGACATGATGTGTATTTTTGTTGCTTATGCTAACTGTGCCAACTCAATGTCTGTGGTTTTTTTCTCTGTTTTGTAGAAGTGCAAGATGATTGCAAATAGCAAGGAGGAGATGGCCATTGCTAAACCCCACGTCTCAGATGATGAAAGCTAAGACCTTAAAGCTCTCACGGTAATCAAGGATTTTCAGTTGTTCTCCTTGTCTTCATAATACTATTTTATTACTTTAACTTTTTTGTATTTGGGGCTTTGTTGTTTTAATCATTGAGTTAAAATATTCTTCCTCTCCATTTGGCCTAGCACTCCCACTGTTTTTTTTGATTATCCATTTTTCTCCCCAACACTCTCCATCATTTCGGATTAATTAAGCCATTAATCAGTGACTTGTTAGAATACAATCAACCAGTTCACTGTTAGAAAGGTTGTTGTTTTTTCTATTCCAATTTTCTCATGCATTTTCATCAGTTTAATGACCCACACCAACGCTGCAACCTGCTGCTCAATTTACAAGAAGACAGACATAAAATATTAACTCAAAGCTTTATGTCCAGGAAGTTCTCTGGTCCCACATTACAATGATAGCAAGCATGTCAGTGTGAATTTTATTAAACCTCCACTCATTCAGTATATTTGATAAGTTAAATCTGGCAGACATTAACGGACAAAAGCCAAACCGGCTTTTTAGCATAGCGAGGGAAGATCTTTGTGCTAGTTCTTGCCAATATATAAATTAATCAAAAAGAGAGAAAACAATTTTTTTAAAGTATTCACGTAATCTTTCCTTTCTTCCTGTGAAAACATACGATGCTTTATAGGTGGACCTTCCTTCCCAGAGTTCCCATGGCAGCCAGATGAGATGACTGAGCCGCATAAATCGCCAAGAAGTTCACCCAAGTTGTCACATTTAAAATGTAGGAGCACCCATACCAGCCACTGCCCCTCTAAGCTCCCCAGTGTGTTTCTGTTTGTGTGAGAAAGAAACAGTCACCCATGAAACCACTGACGAACTGGACACGTGTGTACAGTTGTCTGACTGTACGTCATGAATAGTGAGCGAAGAAGTGTGTGTGTGTGAATGTTGAATGAGTGTGTATACATAGTGACTTTCACCTAAAACTCCTCAATGTTCCTGCTCATTTAAGCAGACACTGTTGTAATGACTGAAGAGGAAACAAACCAAACTAACAAGTGGCGCAAGTTTTTTTTGTAAAAGATTAGTTTCTCTAAGTTTGTTTAACTTCAACTCTCCCTCTCTTAAAGGACTGTGTTAAGTGGAGAATGTCTCCCTGTTCTGCTGTATCCCCTCAGTTCAATTTATTCCCTAGTTTTATAAACAAATAATGCAACGTTTTGCTAGATCCTCACATGTGATTTGTTTTCTCCGTCCTGGAGCTGCAGTTCAAGGTTGTGACCACAAGTGGTAAATCTTAGAACAGGGTGACGGATTAGGAGTTAAGAAAGGAACTGAATTTATTGGCTAAAAGAAAAAGAGAATCACTTTTATTCACAAAATATCATTCATTCGGTAAGTACAGCCCTGGGTGTGATTTTCTCCCCCTCTCTTTTAATAACACAGGCTCATCAACGAATAAACTGGAGTTTGATTTGATTAATTGGGTTACTTTTCCAAATTGGAAACATGTTTGCTGTTGATTGAAATGGACATCTCACCAGCCTCGGTTTTTAAAATCTATCTTCACATGCAGTGTTTTTTCTATTAAAAAAATAAAACAAATCCACACATTGTGAAAACAAAAAAACAAATACAAAACTTGCTGCTTATTGTCACGATGGAATTTTACAACAAATCTGTGCAAACATGTTAAAGGATGGCCTCTAGGTTTGAAGGAAAGCTGTTTTTTTCCCGTCTCGGAGGATCCTTGATATTTAAAGTTTGCCAGCAGAACAGAACCTTCCATACTCGATAAATCCACATTTGCGATTAATCAGTGGACTGGATCTTCAACAACTGACTAAAGCTAATTTTCCTGCTAAGATTTAGGAGGAAGAAATGCAACTTTTCTTAAATGTCTACCTTTAAATTGAGGTCACAGTTCCTTAAATGGAATGTGTGATTGAACCCTTTAAAAGCAACCAACATTTTTAAATAGTCTTGGCTTTTGCCTTTCTTTTTTGCTGTTTTGCATAATTAAATATCACTTTTTTTTTCTTTGGAGGCCCTCATGCCACCATGTACCTTCAGATGGTGCTTAATGACTTTGAGTGATTAGTTAATGTAAGAAGTTTAATATTTTCCTTGTGTGCCATTGATTTTTTGTGTATTAGACAATCAGGGTCTGTGTCTCGAGAAGCTTTTTTAAAATTTGTTGGATAAACAGCTATTCCCTTAGGATATCTGAATATGTTGCAGGAGCATATTAGAGAGACAAATAGAGAATTGTTCTGGTTCACTAAATGTGTAACTAAACAATGTCAAACCCAACAAGTCTTCTTTGATTTAAACTCCACACTTAGGTAAATCTTTGGTTTCTTAGCATTGACAGGTTTAAGCCGGATACTTTCCCACTATATAGGAAAGATCAAGGATGAAATCGGAGCTTTTTGGAAAACTAGCCGTGAAGAGTTGCTATTTTTGTTTTTTCCTGGATCAACCCCTCTATGTTGACCCCCTCACACCCAGGGCTGTGCAACTGTGGGAGAAATCTGTAAGGTTTTATCAAATTGTAACCATACTGACTTGGTTCCATACCGGTAAGTCTTGGAACTGTTAATTGATCCCCTGACATGGTCTTTAGCTATTTTAACGACAGAAAAACAAGACATTTTAGGATCTGTTGTTTTGGTAATTTGAGTATGACATCGCTTGCTTTGTACATAAATGTGTTGATGATTATTAAACCTCAATGATCTGTATGTTTTTGTGTCCTGTGCTATGTTCACTGTGGCTCGTTAACATTTGTACTTAAAAAGGTGAAATAGGAAGGTTTCATTTTCATTTAGGCCTCCGTATGATGTTTGAATTGAACACGGTATGCTCCAGTCATAGATACATGTTGTTCATCTGACTTAAATAATACTGTCCTTTCAGTCTATCTTCAGCCTTCAGTTCATCCAATTGATTGGAAATACTGTTATGGAAGTAATAGGACCCCTGACATGCATTGAATTAATGATGTGACATGATCTCAATTTATGGAATGACAAATGCTTAGATTATCTATGGAAACTATATATTTCCTATATATAGAACCTTTTACAACTGAATACAAAAAGCTGCATCTCACTTTTGGCATGAGTGCTAGATCTATTACTTAAAATCAGATTATTTGAATCGGTGACTTAATATATTGTTGTCAGACATGAGCAGAATATTTTAAAGCCAAAATGTGAATCACAAACTGCATCCTGTTTGTGCATTTCTAGCAGAGAGCAAGATCTTTACAAATAACAACAAAGGAAAGCAGAGAGATTTAGTTATGTTTGATGAAGTTAGTCTTTGATGTGGATTATCATCGACCCATTAAATTATCAAATCTGATGCTTTGACCTATCGAGCAGAAGATATCAGAATCTAGATTTGATACTATTTGACACTGCACATGTTCCTGTATTCAAACTGATCCTGCGATGTCAGGTATGAAGGGGGTCACAGAATAAATGTCAGGTGAAGTGACATTAAAACTTAACAGAGATTCAGCCCCAAAACAAAACCAGACTACACAACTAATCAATTTCTAAACTTTGTATACACTGTATAAATGAACATATGAGTATATGAAGTGGACTGGTGCCAGCATGTCATTTCTTGTGTTTTTGGACAATTAAAATCACCTTTCAGCAAATATCTTAGGCCGAAAGAACTGTAGTTATGAAACCATCCTACAAGTGGTGCACTTTCTCTTTAAATATTTTTTGCTTTCATTGTGGACTCTGTTTAAAACCTATGAGTACAAAAATGTCCCTTAACACTTCAACATGAAGCTCTAATAGACTATGTAGTTACTGGTACAGAATACATTAACTAAAACTTCTTTGACACACTTATTTTACTTTGATAAACTTTGTGTAATTCAGATGTTGAGTACAAAGGAATGACCCAGGGAACAAGAACGCTTCAAGGACTGTAATCTTTGGATGTGCCTATTCAATTGAAAAATGGGTTTCAATCTTTGGAATAAAATGTTGTGCCTTTGTTTTCATCACAGTGATTAAAATACAAACCACCATAGCTATACCTCAGATGAGAATCATAATAATTCAAACATACAAAATGTCTCTGGACTTTTGAGTGTGCCAAAGATCCTTTTTTACTCCAAGTGCTGTTTGTCTCTTACTAAATATTTGACTTCTTACTCTGTTAGGAGTATTTCTTTTATGGTTGATGGCAGATTCAAATTTATTCTGCTGTTGTATCTGCATAAAATAGGTTTAAGCAGGTATTTTGCATGATGTTTGTCATAAAGTGACATTTGGAGACCATGTCACTATATGTTCTGTAAGCCTGTTGTTGAAATGGAGTCAAGAGCAGCCAATTAAAATGCATTCACACACTTTTTCTTCCTTCAGTATTTTCTAAGATTAATATCTATTCATATATTCTACAAAAAAAAAAACACACAGCAGAATCTGTACAAGTAGGACCAGTTTTTTGTATCAGAAGTTTCCTGGTTTCTATTTGTAGCCCCAGGAGTATCGTTAATCAGCATTTCTGAGGGCACTGGCTCCAAGCAGGGAAACAGTTGGTGTGGAAAGCAAAGGGGGAAGGGTGCAGTATGCTGTAATAAAATCCTGTAATCTACAGGCAGTCCTTTAATGATAATTGAGCTATTAATGAATCCATACAAACCAACGTGTGTGCAAGCACAGCCAATAATCCGCTTCTTAGATGTTCACATCACCAGCTCCGCCCATGCTTCTAAAGATGTTAGACCTACCTTCCCAACAAGATAAAAACAAATGTATTACAGCAAACATAACAACAATGAATGAAATACAGTGGCTTCCTCTTTTTGAAAAAAAAAAAGATAATTCTGTAAATATATCAGTTGAATCAGTTTAATTTGTTTTTCTCACAATTTCTTTATAGTTGTTAAGTTTAGTCAGCAATGCAATTGAACATAATGAAGTACAGGGTTTTTTATATATACAATATAAAGAAACAAACATGTTATATTCAACCCCTCACCCACCCACAAACATCCCTTCTTCTCTCTAAAAATCACTCTTGCACTTAAAGTCCATAAATGTGAAAGATTATTTCCAAGATAATGGTGCCTCTTATACAATGAAAATGAAAATTAAAAAAACATACATACAGTATGTTGTGCCTATTCATGTATATCTACACTCACACATACACACTCACACATACACATATATATCTACACTCACATATACACATATGTACATACACAAACCAGAAGTTACATATTTCCATATCCTGCCTTCATCAACTTCTGGGGTTTACCACTATTATTATTCTGCAAATACCTAACCTGAGTCTTCCTCAAGTAGAAGCACTCCAATGTCTCTACATGTCATGAATAGAATCAATTGAATTTACAGTAAACTTGGTGTCTCTCACTTTATTTTCCATCGGCCGGCCATGCCATCAACCAAGTGAATATATAGGGAACAGGATGCTTTAAGTGAGGAATGAGGAAAAGTCTGCTTATCAAAAGAAGTCAGACTGCTCCTGCCCTGGCAAAGAAAGTACATTTCTGTGCCCCTTTCCTGACTCCTCTTTCCTGCATATTACATTTTGTCCAGAACAAAAAAAAAACACGACACATGTCTAAATTAGGAGAGCCACTGTTTTAATTCCCTTTTACTTTCCAATTTTGCTTTCTTAATTACAATGTGTGGATAAGGTTTAGTAATCTGCATTAACTGCACTCTCTGAGAGAGTGAATCTCTGAGATATTCTCGACCAATTACAGTCATTTAGTTTGTGGACTGTAATTACATTAATCAGTAATTACGGTTACGGGCCTTGCTGTCAGTGTCTGCATGTGGGCTTGTTTATGCACGGCAGGCAAATTTACATGTATTCGTATGTGGGCTGCATACTGAGCAGCTAGTGAGTCATTGGATTTTGCAGATCAATGGCTGTGGTCGATGGATGGCTGAGTGCTTTGCAATGACCACCCAGTCCAAGCACTCTGTCAGGCCGCCAGGAAAAGAGGTCACATACTCAAAATTTCCTCTATCTCCTCCTCGCAATAGATTTCAAGAATACAGTTTTCTCTCACTGCATTTTTGCATACTCCACACACACACACACACACACACACACACACACACACACACACACACACACACACACACACACACACACACGCACACAGACACAGACACAGACACAGACACAGACACAGGATAAGCCGATGGATTCAGGCCGTGGTGGAGTTCTGGATCAGAGTGGAACTTGTTTCAGTACAATGCGAGGCAGACTAACGAAGACAACAGAGACAGGAAAGAGAAAAGGAGAAAAGAGGATTTGAGAGGTTCGACGAGATGAAAGCTGACGAGAGGGAAAAAAGAAAAAAGAGAGAAAGGGAGGGAAAACTGACAAAAGAGAAAATAAGATGCTGAATTTTATGGAGGAGGATATGGAGCACTGCGTACAGGAGCAAGGGAGCTGTGTCTGGGACTGTGAAAGTGCATGTACTGGTCAGAGGAGTACAATAAAGGTTGTGACTTTGACTGTGCTTGTCGGTTTATTGTACTGTCAAAACTGTGTGTGTGCACATTTCAGTTCAAGTGTGTGTCACAGTGTCCTTGACGGGGCAGAATCCTGCCAAACCAAAATGTTCTAAAAGCAGAAGAGTCTGCTGCAAAAGAAAACCCTGTGCAAACATGTACATGTGCATAACTAATGACACACATGTTGCATGCGGTCATACATAATTCACAAGAGCACTGAGAGGGAGCAACTATAGATTTATTAACGGATGAGTGAAGTCAATTCACTTGAAACATTTATGCAATCTGGAAAGCAAAAATGCAATTTTAAAATGTGCTTTTCAATTTCCTTTTCAGATTGAAAATTTAAATATGTATTAGTTTTCATATATGCTAAGAATATTAAAATGTTAAGAAGGAGCCCTTTAGTGGCTTCTTCATATCAATAAACTTAAAAAGAAAGCTCAACCGCAATAGAAGAGGTGCAAAAACTAACCCACGACATCTGACAACTTGTGACACACATATAAAGTTATACAAAGTAAATGGATCATTTAGGCTATAGGCGAGGTCCTGTGTGGATCAAGGATGGGAATTGCCAACCCAATACCATACCATATCATAACGTAACATAACATAAATGTAATGTAACATAGCGTAGCTTAGTCTAACATAACATTAACATAACATTAACACAACTTAACCTAAAGTAAGGTAACATAATGCACACAATGCAATGTAACATATGTGCTACATGGCCCACAATGATAATACTATCACAAAAAAGCAAGTCTGTGATAATTGATTTACTGAAGAATCTAAAATGCTCCTCAAAAGATAAAGCAACTCAATTATTCTTCTCTTATCATGCCCTATCCTTTAGTGTCTTTTCACTGTTGTCTGACTTGATCCGTGTCCAATTTTTTGTCCAATTAAACTTTCCTTTGTGTTGTCCTCATTCATGTAATAAGCGACAACATGAGGAGTCATGAAGTGAGGACACAGATAGTCATACTGGCTGAAAAATCGGTTTAGAATGCTTTTTTAAAAACATTAAAATATCCATATTTGGCACCAGTGATTCAACAACTGTATTACACAAGCCAGGACAGTGATATATTGCTTTATCTGTATTTTGTCCCAGCCCTAGTGTGGCTCATATAGAAAGTCAAAACAAGATGCTGGATAGAAGTGACTCTTTTAGGAAAGATTTCTGATCAGACTAAATA